GATCAACCAGAAGGCTTTCAAGTTGCAGGAATGGAGGATAAAGTCTACCGACTTCATAAGGCATTGTATGGATTAAAGCAGGCTCCTCGAGCATGGTACAGTAAGATTGATGATCATCTCATTCATTGTGGCTTCAAGAGAAGTGAAAATGAAGCCACTTTATATGTGAAGAAGGCTAAAGGAGGAGATGTGTTTGTGGTGTCACTCTATGTTGATGATCTTCTGGTAACAGGAAGCAATAAAGCAATGGTGAATCAGTTCATGCAAGAAATGGAGACCAAGTTTGAAATGTCAGATTTGGGTGAAATGAGTTACTTTCTGGGAATGGAGATTCATCAAGCTACTGCTGGAATCTTTATTTCTCAGAGAAAATATGCATGGGATATTCTTAAAAGGTTCAAGATGGAGAGGTGCAAGTCTGTACCGACTCCACTGGTTCACAATGAAAAAATTTCGAAGTTTGAAGGAGGTGACAGGGCAGATCCAACAGTTTATAGAAGTCTGATTGGTAGTTTGCTGTATTTGACAGCAACAAGACCCGATCTCATGTTCGCGGCAAGTTTACTGTCGAGGTTTATGCAAGCTCCAAGTCAAGTTCATCTTGGTGTTGCTAAACGAACGTTGAGATATATCAAAGGAACTGCTGATTATGGTATTTGGTTTAAAAGGGAAGAGCAAGGGCAACTGATGGGTTATTCAGATAGTGATTGGGCAGGAAGCGTTGATGATATGAAAAGCACTTCTGGATATGCTTTTACACTTGGTTCAGGCATGTTCTCATGGAATTCAAAGAAGCAAGAGGTGGTAGCTCAATCTTCTGCAGAAGCAGAATACATCGCAGCTGCTGGTGCAACTAATCAGGCTTTATGGTTAAGAAAGATTCTACGTGATCTGGAGCAAAATGACATTGAAGCTACTGTCATTAAGGTTGACAACAAGTCAGCAATATCTATGGCCAAAAATCCAGTGCAACATGGTCGTAGCAAGCATATAAATGTGAAGTTTCACGCTATTAGGCAAGCAGAGAAGGATGGCGAAGTTCAGCTTGTTCATTGCAGCTCAGATCAGCAGATTGCAGACATCATGACCAAGGCTCTTCCTAAGGGGAAATTTGAAGTTCTAAGGGCTAAGTTGGGAGTATCCAAGAAAAATCTCAAGGAGGAGTGTTAGAAAATGAGATATTTCAAGATGTCTTTTGTTTAATTGTTATTTTCTTAAATATTATGTTAAGTATGTAAAGGAAAGGTAGTCCTTGTTTTATGGAATATGTTTTGTAAGAAAGTCAATAGTGGTTGGATATGTATGGTCCTCTACTAACTTTGGAAAAGCTTATGTAGATATATGTGTGTATGCTTTCAAAAGCTGAATATGAATAAAAGTTTCTGCTGCTGAACCTTATTTTCTTCTCTAAAAGTCTCAAATCCTAACATATACTACTACCTTGGAATTATGTTTGTTGGCTTATTTATACATTTATACTTTTATTTTTCGAACCTATATGAAAAATTCTAGATCCGCTCATGCCGGATAATTCGTCCCTCCTCACTAGTCCTTCTTGCTCCCTTCCCCTTCTTCTCCATGAACACTCTGTTTTTGGTCTCTACTCATTTCACTTCCTCCGAAGTTTAGCATTTAGTACCAAAATTGAAACTTTAGCTCCAACTTGTTATCTTGGAGGTGGTTAAAGTGTACGCAATGGGACTAGTAACAAGATAAGAATTTATCTTTTCTGAGAGTTGTTAGCAAATGGTTAGAGTCAACTGTTGAATTGATATACTAGAGTTAGTCCCTTAAATTATAGAGTTATAATCTGAAATCGCTTGTTGAAGTTAGTGAGGTTGTTGAAATCTACCTTCCGTAGGTCATGGTTTTACTCCCTTGAGCTAGGAGGTTTTCCATGATAAATCTTGTGTTTATTTACCTTTTTGTTTGCTTTCGTTTTAAGAGGGCGAACCCATGATTTGAAGACTTTGGGTGCACCAATATTATCTTAGCTCAAATATGAGCTCTAAAATAAACTTAAAATAAAAACAATAAAATTAACACAATGACACTCCTATGTTTTTCATGGATGCACTGTCAAATATATCCTAATTTCTATCAGTTTCTCAATATAGATGCACATGCACACCCACCTAGAGGAGTGGGTCCACCTCTGTATAAGGAACTTGGTTCCTTAAGTCGAATAGTTGGTTCTAGGGTCGTCGAGCCTCTTGAGTACCACAATTTAAATTGATCCAGAGGCGTATCTAAGGAGGGGTCACCGGGTTCACGTAAACCCATGGTCCCCTCCCGAGATCATATATAGTAGTGTTATATTTTAAAAAAAATATTGAAATATAGATGTGTGAATCCACACTTGAAGTATCACATAATGCGATTATGACTGGGTGCACCTCTCTCCGCGAAGGTTAGAAATTTGAATTTTATATTTATCTTGTATTATTTTTCTTACTAAAATTGATAACACTTCTACTTAAGTGGTAATTGATATATATATATATATATATATAAGAATTAATTTTAGACCTATAATTTTAAAATTTTAACGATTTTTAGTAGTAAAATTTTAAATGTTGAACCGAACAAATTTATATCATAGATCAACCTTTTTATAACAGTACACCATCATCTCAAAATCCTGGATACGCCTCTGAATTGATCTACATCTCTAGCCTTAATACCCACTCATTTGATCTTCTGCACACAAGCTATGTTGATCTTTCTTTTGTTTATAATCTTCACTAACACAATGAACTTTCCTGTCAAAATCCCTATGTTCCATGACCCAACTATATAACAGAGGCACAAAGAAAATACTAGTAGCATTTAGTGATGCTTCTTTTGGGTAGAATTAGATATATTTACATTTATAAAGCTTAAATGAGAAGCCTACGGACTTCATTGTTCATTACAGAATTTGAAATAGGGATGCTCCCCGTAGTCTGATTGGGACTAGTTACTACTACCATTCTATCAAAATAAACCCCATTCTTGTCAGCTTCCCATGCTTTGAGGGCTTAATGTGGCGGGGCTTCCAAAATCTGCATCCTCCCGCTGTTGGCTTGCATTGTCTTGCCCATCTTAGCCAGTATGTCCGCCACCCTGTTCTGCTCCCTGAATGTGTGGAGAGGTTTTGGTATTCCCAGCTGCTGCATTAGTGACCTTTCCCAACTACCAAGTCAAAAAAATTGGATTGGCAATTTCATTTGTCTGCGGATATCTGTCATTGTCCAACATAAAATGGCCATACTAGAACTGTTTTAGACGAAGTAGTGCTCTTTTGTTTCTTTCTTTCTATCATCGTGTAAACTAAACATCTAATTCTCATGAGTCATGACCAACGGTGAAGGCACGGAAACACTTATCAATTCAGCGTAATTCCATTGCAACATGAATTATGTATAGTCTATATCTTCTTCCTTTGATGTTGTGCATCTCTTAACAAGATCCAAGTAGTCTTCCAATTGTTGTCGAATCTCAATTCCATGTTCTTTCAAAAAGATAGGATCCGCTATATCCATTACATTACCCTCTTTAATACAGTAATCTCAAACAGGGTCAATTGTTTTAATGTGCGAGACAGGAACCTTTATCATTTGTATACATGGCTTCTTAATTAAGCACTGAAATGACTCACGCTGGCTAAAATGGAAAATGGTAAAGACGAAGAATAAATTACAAGTAGTGGCATCCATAGTCTAAATTCAATGACTAAAATTTGTTAGATGACAAATACTAACATGATTTTTCTGTAAACTGAAAAAATTAAGGAGTAATCAATCCAAATAGAGCAAAATAAAGGTCAAATTGGCAATTTCGTTGTCTGCAAATCTCTTTTTTTGTTCAACATAAATACGAGGGTACAAACAAACTGAATTCCCTTGAAATTGGAACCTAATATGAATACTTTAAAGAATTAAAATGAACATTTAATTTTGATCAAGAGGGAAACCCTTCTCAATACGACACAATTCCCTTGCGACATGAATCATGTATGGTCTATCTTCTCCCTTGTCAGCTGTGCATTTCCTAGAAAGATTCAAGCAGTCTTTCAATTGTTGTTGAATCTCAATTCCATGCTCTTTGAAAATGGTAGGATCCATTATATTACACTCTTTAATATAGTGATCGACGAGGTTGGGTGGAAGATTTTCAAAATCTATTATTTCTTCTGGAATTGCAGAATCCATCCTATGCATAGAGTTATCTTCTTCGAAATCTGTTGTCTCTTTTGAATTTTTAGAATCCGCTCTATCCATAACATCATCATCGGATCCCACACTACCGCACACTTCCTTTCCGGTTAATAGCTGAAAGAGAAGAATCCCAAAGTTGTAGACATCAGTTTTTTGAGTAATAATACCCTGGTGGATATGTTCTGGAGCTATATACCAGATTGTTCCACACACTCGATCTTGTACCTCCAATTCTCCCGGAGGCAGTGATATGGACAATGAGAAGTCTACTATTTTGGCAACACCGCTCTTCTCATCTATTATCACATTGTGAGGCTTCAAATCTCTGTGGATAATGGGCGTAGTAAATTCGGTATGCAAAAAAACGATTGCAGAAGCAACGTTATTGGAAATCCGTAATCGATTTCCCCAAGATAGTGACGATTTTCTATTAATATTACCCTTTTTGAAAAGTAGATCGCTGAGAGATATACCTTCAACATATTCATACACCATAACTGGCTCTTCAAATTCTAGACAGCAACCGACAAGTCTTAACACATTCTTGAGATGACTCATTTGAGCAGTAATCGCTATATCTCGGTGGATATTGTTGAACTCACAATTGTTGAACCTAACTAAAACGAGGCGGTTGTCTAGCGAGCCCGTAACCATATACACATTGGAAAGCTCCATTTTGCTTTTAGTGTGTTTTATTGCCCTGTCGATCTCTATGGCAGTAAAGTAACGGATGGGAATTCTGCAATTTCCGTCGCATAAAGCAAGAAACTCCTCAAGCACGCAACTTCCATTCTGTAAATAACAATCATACTCTTTCTTCCGCTGTTCAGCAGAGGCAGAGGGAAAAAGTTTTTTCTTTGTGAGTCCCCTGAAGAAAGGCATCTCTAATTTAGAAGTGACTGACTAGTCTCCATGAATTGGGATTAAATCCAATTAGGCATCACAATTCACATCATCACTAGTAGTGTAATCTATGAAGAGGTTAGAAGCTTCCTGCTGGTCGTAATTTGTGCATTGAATTCCACACAAAATGATGGCGATTGATTGGACTCTCTTCTGAATTTCCATGCACTTTCATTGCCATTGTTTGATAAGTTCTACCTAATGTCGCCGTCCGATCAATAAATTACTCTGTTCTAGATTAAATATTTTGGTTTATGTTAAAGAGTTTACACTTATTCTGTGGTTCTAAAGGCATGTTTGGTGATATGAAATTATTATATGAAATCATAAGATGAGGTTCAAATTTTGTTCCAACATAATTTGAACTTCTTATGTGGTATGTTTCTCATAAATATAAAAATTTCATAAGCTGTAAAAATATTAAAATTGTCCCAATTCTATATAGAATCTTACCAAATAAGCACAAATTTATAAAATCACATAATACACTATCACAAAGATATTCTTAAAAAAAAAATATTATTGATCAAACTTTAATTCAATGAAAAAATAAACGGAAAAGGGCTAAAAATACCATTGGACTATTTGAAAAGGTCTAAAAATACCCTTCATCCATCTATTGGACTAAAAATATCCTCAATCCACCTTTTTTAGTTCATTTCTACCCTTAAAACTAACAGCCACTTTTTAAAAAATTATTATTATTATTATTATTATTACATGTCATTATTTTATTGGATAAATTAAATCTTAACCCATTTATTTTTCTCCTACCCACCTATTCTAGTGCACATGACCCAAACCCAATTAGAAGACCCATTAAAAAATAAATTGATTTTAACTTTGTGTGAATTCAAATATCCCAAACAGAGAATGCATAAAAAAAAATAAAGCCGAGCTTAATTATTTCTTATGTAACTGATTCTAGCCAAGAGTGAGGGCACAGAAGCAGTTGTGAATTCGGCGTAATTCCTTTGCAATTTCAATCATGTAAGGTCTCTCTTCTCTCTTTGACTTTGTGCATTTCTTAACAAGATCCCAACAATTGTTGTCGAATCTCATTTCCATGCTCTTCAAAAGTGGCTGAATCTGCTATGTCCATTACATGGATCTCTTCGATGCCTACCATCTTAAAATCTGAATCTGCATGATACATTATATATACTCAGGATCCTCTATATTTAGAGTACTCATTTTCTCTCCAGTTAGTAGCTGAAGTAGAACAACTCCGAAGCTATAGACATCTGCTTTTTGAGTAACAATACCCGAGATCGCATATTCCGGAGCTAAACATCCATTTCTGGAGATAATATCTTTTACTACTTCCAATTTTCCTGGAGGCAAAGATATGGATAATGAGAAGTCCAATATTTTGCCAACACCGCTATTCTGATCTATTATCACATTAGATGGGTTCAGATCTTTGAAGATGATGGGCGTTGTAAATTCGGTATGGAGAAAGACGATTGCAGAAGCGACCTCATTGGCAATTTGTAATCTATTTCCCCAAGATAATAACAATTTTCTAGTTTGATCATCATCATGATTACCTTTTCTGAAAAGTAGATAACTAACAGAAATACCTTCGACATATTCGTACACCATAACTGGTTGTTCAAATTCTAGACAGCAACCGACAAGTCTCAGCACATTCTTCAGATGACTCATCTAAGCAGTAACTGCTATATCTCGGTGGATATTGTTTAATCGACATCTATTGAACCTAACTAAAACGAGACGGTTGTCCAGCGAGCCTGTAATATACACATCGGAAAGGTTTATTCTGCATTTAGAGTGTTTTATTGCATTGTGGATCTCAAACGGATGGGAATTCTGCAATTTCCGTCGCATAAAGCAAGAAGCTCCTCAAGTACCGCACTTCCATTCTTTAAATAACAATCATGCTCTTTCTTCCGCCTTTCTGCAGAGACAGAGGAAGAAAGTGTTTTCCGTGTGAGTCCACTGAAGACGGGCATTTTTTCCTTGTGATGACTAGTCTGGATGAATTGGGATTAAATCCAAAAAGGCATCCATCACTAGTAGTGTAACACCACCATATAAGATCGAAAAACTCACAATAACACTATAAAGCAAGAACTTACAGTGGTCTAGCATCTAACACTTTCATACAAGTTTAGCCTTCACAAAGATTGTTCATCTTTGCTCGTTTTTTTTTTTGGTGATATAGTGAGTTTGGGATCCTTGACCGACGCCCCAGCTTCACTGCTCCACAAGAGGTAAAATTCATTCCCTTTTTTTTACTTACATGTTTTCTTCTTCTCCTTCATCTACTTTGGTTTGAATAAGATATGTTAATATGCAGAGAAGGTGCACTTACCATAACTAAAGGTCTTGGACTATAATTTTTGATATAATAACAGCATTTAAACATATATTTATGGAGCATGCTTTGTATATACTTAATTTGTGTTAAGTACGTGAAATATTTAGTTTGGTTTAGATGAGAATACAACATGTTGTTAGAGTTATTAATATAACTTTCGATTAACTATTATTTTTTATATAGTACCAAGAACCAGTTTTCCTCATCTAACTCTTTTTCTCATGTTTATTTGGCATGAAAACTTGAGCCGGCGAGTCTCGTTTTGAAACTCAACGACACCGCTACAACATGGAGCTTGCATATCCCTCACATGGAATCGATCATATACATTTCTTTGACACTATACCAATTCACCTTTCCCTATTCTCTATTTTCAGAGACGTGTCCAGATAAAATGACACATTGTAGCTAATTAGTTGTTTAGTCTATTGCTTACCGTTATGTTTGCTTATTTGTTTGGTTTGTTGTGATGTTTCAGGAATGTGCACAAAGTGGGTCTTTGCTTGAATGCCTTAGTAATTTACTTCTAGATGACAGTTTAAAATCAATATGATTAGGTTCACAATTTTATCACACAAGATCAAACCATTTTGAATAAAAATAGTTACCTTCAGATTTTTATATAAAAACAAAAGAGGTAACCCACTTATATTCTTTTAAGCCTAACTAACAGATTGTTTATTATTATTTTTTTATATTTTAGATTAGTCCATCATTTTCTGTCCCAATAACGTTATTTTACTTTTAATATTCATACTTTAGTTACTTAAATGATAATATATATTCATTCACTTAGCATTTCAACTTGTTTCTTACCTCTTTCACTTAGCCTAATTAATAAATTTAAGTTCGGTCGGTTAATCATTTTTAATGGATCTTAAAGGATGCCTAACTCCTTCCCTTTAGATTAATTGAACCCTTACCTAGAATCTTAAGTTTAGTAGACCTTAAAATGAAGTTAACTTTAGAAAATAACTTTAATCAATTTAGGTGTCCTAATTCACCGTAATAATTAGGTGGCGACTTCTTGACTTAGTTATTAACTTTAGAAATCTCCAAAATGTTGTACACTATTTTGACCCGGTTAAAATGGGGTATAACAATTAGAATGTGTTTTTTAGCGACCATTTCATAATTAGCAATCTAAGAGAAAGGTATGGCATGGAACCTGAAAAGAAGTTCCATATATACCTTCTTGGCTAGTTGACTTGTGCTAAAAATGTGGTCGATTGTTTTCTCTTCAGCGTTTATGCAACTTATGCATCAGGAATGTGTTGCTTCAAGTGACAAATACAAAACTAACACGGTCCTATTTCATTTTGTAAATAGAAAAAACTAAGGAGCAGTCAAACCAAATAGAGCAAAGTAAAGATCAAATTGGCAATTTCATTGCTCTTTTTTGTTTAACATAAACATGAGGGTACAAACAAATTGAATTTCCTTGAAATTGGAACCTAATACGAATACCTCTAAACATTTAATTTTGACCAAGAGCTAGGGCACGAAAACACTTTTCAATTCGACATAATTCCCTTGCGACATGAATCATGTATGGTCTATCATCTCCCTTCAAAGCTGTGCATTTTTTAACAAGATCGGAGAAGTCTTTCACTTGTTGTTGAATCTCAATTCCATGCTCTTCTAAAATGATAGGATCCGCTAAATCCATTATATTACCCTTTTTAGTATAACCATCAACAAATTTAAAATATACCGTCTCTTTAGAATCCACTCTATCCACAGTATTTCCCTCTTCAGTATTGGATTTAGCGTCGTCTTCAAAATCTATTCTCTCTTTTGAATTTGTAGAATCCACTCTATCCATAAAAATATCTGGCTCTGCCTTCCCGGTTAATAGCTGAAAGAGAAGAACCCCAAAGCTGTAGACATCAATTTTTTGAGTAATAATACCCGATATGACATGTTCTGGAGCCATATACCTATATGTTCCATACATCCAATCCTCTTGTACCTCCAATTCTCCTGGAGGCAGTGATATGGAGAATGAGAAGTCTACAATTTTGGCAATACCGCTCTTCTGATCTACTATCACATTGTGAGGCTTCAAATCTTTGTGGATAATGGGCGTAGTAAATTCGGTATGCAGAAAAACTATTGCAGAAGCAATCTCATTGGCAATCCGTAATCGATTTCCCCAAGATAATGACGATTTTCTACTAAGATTACCCTTTTTGAAAAGTAGATCGAAAAGAGATATACCTTCAACATATTGATACACCATAACTGGTTGTTCAAATTCTAGACAGCAACCGACAAGTCTCAGCACATTCTTCAGATGACTCATCTAAGCAGTAACTGCTATATCTCGGTGGATATTGTTTAATCGACATCTATTGAACCTAACTAAAACGAGACGGTTGTCCAGCGAGCCTGTAATATACACATCGGAAAGGTTTATTCTGCATTTAGAGTGTTTTATTGCATTGTGGATCTCAAACGGATGGGAATTCTGCAATTTCCGTCGCATAAAGCAAGAAGCTCCTCAAGTACCGCACTTCCATTCTTTAAATAACAATCATGCTCTTTCTTCCGCCTTTCTGCAGAGACAGAGGAAGAAAGTGTTTTCCGTGTGAGTCCACTGAAGACGGGCATTTTTTCCTTGTGATGACTAGTCTGGATGAATTGGGATTAAATCCAAAAAGGCATCCATCACTAGTAGTGTAATTATTGAAGCTAGTTAGTTAAGATGACACTTAAATGTTAATTAGTTGTTAGCTGTAGTTAGTGGAAGTAGAAAGTTGGTTAGACTAGTAACTAACTATAATGCTAAAGTGTCCAGCTGTGATGATCAGTTAAATCACACTATAAATACTTGTATGTGCCTTTATAGTTTTAGTTTGATATGAAATAAATTTCTCTCTTCTATCTTCTCTCAAAATGCTTCCGCCATTAATGTAGCTTGAGCTTACAAGCTAAGTATGAAATCTAACAGTAATCTATGAACAAGTTGGAAGAAGCTTCCTGCTGGTCTTTATTTGTGCATTGAATTCCACACAAAATGATGACTATTGATTGTACTCTCCATGCACTTTCATTGTCATGGTTTATCAAAGCTCTACCTGTCGTCGTCCTATCTATTAATTACTCTGTTCTAGATTAAATATTTTGGAAAGGAAAAATCTTTTTGCTCAGAATGGTATTTTACTTATGTTATTTTATATTTTTGAATATTTTTATATTTTTAACTTTAATACATTTTAATTAAAAATAAATAAAATTAGTTTATTTTAAAATTAAAAAAATATCACACACTTTTTAAGTTTCTGACCGGATTCTGGCCAAATTTTCCAGTCATTTAGCATTATCCTTTTGAAAATATTTTCGTTATGTCAAAGAGTTGACTGTTAGGTACGTCTATTTGTTGCAACTAGTTTTAAGAACATCTCCAATCCCACTTTATTTTACTCTCCATTCTCTATTATTTGGAGAGTAAATCCTTCATTTCACACTCTTTATTTCACTTTTTCATTATTTTATTATTATTTTTATTATTTTGTAATCAACATATTATTTTTTATATAAGGTCATGAATTAAATCTCTAATATTCTTAATTCTTTTTAAATGTAATATAATAAAATATATATATATTATTTAATATATATATAATACTTTCATTCCGAATTAATAATATTTCAATTTTTCAAAAAAAAATTGTCATTTTAATATAATCTGATTTTATTATTAATTAGGTAACTCAGTCACGCTACGCGCGGTCATAAAATATTATATCAAAAATATAAATTAACTTTTTCATATTATTTGAATATAAAAGAGTTTTTAGTTCAAATTCAATTAAATAGATAAAAATTTAAATTTGAATTCATTTTATTATTCACATTGAACTAATTTCTAACAAATAAAATATACTATTACATAAAGGAAGAAAAGGTATGTGAATATAATTGTATTTATATGTCGGAAATTATGATGTATACAGATTTAAAAAGTAGAGTTTAGAACATAAAATAAAAAAAAAAATCGATCATTTTGTGCACTTTTTAAAGAGATTAAATCAACCGGTGATTATATGATAATTGAAATAGAGTTTAGAACACAACTTATAAAGAACTTATTTTAACTTTTTCAATACTTTTTATCACTTTCTTACATTACATACTCCCTTTATTTCAAAATAAAGTTTTTATTTTATTTTTATTTTGTTTCCAATCGTGTTTTACATAATTATGAAGACTTCACTGATGTTTTTTTTCAATCTTACCCTTATTCAATCAAAAGAAATTTATATAACCAAAAAACAGGATCAAAGAACTATATTTTCTTCAAGATATATATTAAAGTTAATTAAGTAAAAGTATCTACTTTATAGCTCCCCCCCAAACTAAAAAAGAAATTGACATACTACAAAAAGGTGAATATCATGGAACTGAAGAGTACATAACAAAATAAAATTGAATTACACTTTCTATATTTTAAAAATAAACTTTTCATGAAATGAAAATCCAGCAAATTGAAGTAAAAATATGATGTAGTGTAGTTTTTGTAGTAGTTAATATTCTTCTTCAATGTTTGTTATTTAACTTGAAATAAGAAATGTATAGGTGCCTCTTTTGCTCTTTAATTTATGTTTTAATAGTTATCTGAGAAAGACTTTAAGAAAAATTAAGGAAAACACTATTTCAAATATGAAATAAAAAAGATAATTTCAAGTAGGGGTTTCATGAAATAAAAAATAATGAGCTTATATAAACAAAATTGAGAAATCTTTAAAGAAAAAAATATAAATAGTTCTCTGTGCAATAATTTTATTTTAACCTTTGTTAGAAGTTGGTATTATTACACACAAAGTTACAATAACTAATTTGCATCTAAGCAAAAATACATACTTGCAATAATAAAAAGTTATAAGAATTCAAACTAAAGACGTTGCATGGAGAATAAAGACACACACATCTTCCTTGGAACCTTATCATAAGACAATAGATAAAAATAAGAATACAAAATCAATGCCCACTTTTTTGACTTCTTGTCTGACACCCTGTTTGACAAACTAATCAACATTCAAAAGTGTTTTTCATCATGTCAAGTTAAAGCATGAATTTGATAATATAATAATACTACAAAGAACAGTGAAATATAAAGAATAATCTTGAGTTGAAATTTCATGAAATAAAAGCTTGTGAATTTATTTTTTCATTAAAAATAGAGAGATATCAAAAAATATCTTAAATTTTATAATTTAGTAGTTGGAGGTTATGAATATGAAAACTTAAAGTCATAGAATTAATGATATTATAAAAAAATGAAGTTTAATAGATTTACGTTATGGAGTTTAAACTTAAAAACTAAAAGAAAAATAAAAAAACACAAATAAAGTAGATAAAAGAAATGCATTTATATTATACAAAAATATAATTTTTTTGAATTGAATAATTAAAAGAAAAGTAAAATAAAGAGCAAAGAAAGGAAAAAACTATAAAATAAATAA